TAAGAAAGAATTCTTGCAAACCTATGGTGAAGTAAATAAACATTCGAAGTTTTATTTAAACTAAAACGATTCTAGCAAATAATAATTTATTATTAAAAATAAATTTTGACGATTCTTTTGTCTTTATAGTCCTTCCGTTACTTAATCTTGTCAAGTATATTTGTTTTAGAATAGCGAATGGCTTTGCGATGTGTCCGCGTTTATTACTGTTGCTTATCAACCAAATCTCTTATGTGCTTGGATTACTGGAAAAAACGCAAGATATATCGAAACTTTATCGGATACTGATGTATTTGATGGATTATATTTATTGTTGAAAGAGGCGTTTGAAAGTCATGATAATGTTACAAAACCAACAAGAATGTTAAGGTAATTTACCACTGGAACTAAATGAGAGAAAAATAATTAGATTTGATTACTATTTTTTTTGTACACTTTTAGGTCTAAATGGTATACCAATGAACATTTTCGAGGTTCGTACAGTTTTCAAAGTATGGTTTCTGAGCAAATGAATGTAACACCGAGAGATCTGGCAGAGCCGATTATGACTGGAAATAAACCTGTATGTATTTCTCAAAATAAAAATATTATAAGTATAATATAAGTTAACATCATTTTTAATTATTATGCAAATTATTGTTTAAAACATCATATCACAATATCTAAATTTTTTTATCTTTAGCTTTAGTTTATTGCTTATTTTTTATTTATGTTTATTGTGTTGCAAAAAAAATTCTATTGACATTGATAAAATGAATCTTAATGATTAGGTAATTCTTTTCGCTGGAGAAGCCACGCATGATCATTATTATTCTACTGTGCATGGCGGCGTGGAAACTGGTTTCCGCGAAGCTGATAGATTAATCGATTTTGAAAGGTAAAATAATTTTAATGAAACTTATTTTTCAAATTATAAATTTAAAATTTTTTTCAATTTAATAGTTTAATTAAGATTGAATAAAAAAAGAAATAATTCCTTGAATAAAACTTAATTTATTAGCATATGCAATTATGTGTAATGCATAATGCATTGTAGATTAATAATTCGTTTCATTTATTTTTGCTGTTGTTGCACCATTTCATTTTGCATTGTATTATGTTAATAATTATTATGATATATCCAATGTCCTTAATATGTACAGCCAGAGAACTTTTTCTTAGAATTTACCCTGAAAATATGATAGTCGTGCAACAAGTTTGTATTTCAAAGAATTTTAATGTTAATCTCTCTCATTCATTAATAAAACTACAATAAAGTACAAAATAAGTTGATTAATAATATTAAACTGCATGATAAAAGTGTTTAAAATATTGTATGATACCACAACTACCATATTTTCAGGGTAAATTTTAAAGGAACATTCTGTCTGTGTATTATTCAAGTCTATAGTTGAATCATATATAATATATTTCATTTTGTACGAAGTTTAATAAAAGTAAAGAATTCGCTGCTTAGTTATTTTTAAACATATCAAATTTTGCACAAATAACTTTGCAATCATATATATATCTAATTGCATGCTTTTTTAGGCAGTTAGACTCTTATCTCTAACTACATCTTCCATATGATTATCACTCTTGTAACGAATGGATTACGGAAAAAACTAGAAATATGTTTGCATATTTGTAGTATTTGCAATAGGCGAATATATTTAAAGCACCATGCACTACACTACTTGCAAATATTGAATAAAAATGCATTATACATTATGATAATGTAAATTTATACTTTGTATGTAAACTGATGTAAAATTTAGAAAAATGTATAATTAACACGAAATACATAACGTTAACATTAAAAGAAATAATATTTATTATTATTTGTTATTATTTATTTATTGTGTGTATTATTTATAGTTATTATTTGTGTTTCTTTTAATATACTATTATTAAATTGAGAATTTGCTTAAATAAAATTTATTTATATATTTATTAGGTTGAGTAAAAAGTTATCGCGTATTTTTTAGCTCAAAGTTGTATATACAATATCTTCGTCAATAATGAATGAAATTCAAATTTAAAAAAAGGGTTTTTAAGCTTGAAATCTCTACTTTTAAAAGCTTATCACATTTTTTAAGTTTATATGAGTTTGATAATTTTTACATACCAAAAACTACGAGCTGAAAAAGACGAAAAATTTTCTTCTCACTTTGTGGATTTGTAACGTGTCCAAAACAAATTTGAGAAAATTTTCGATTACCTATCGTGAAAGCTTGATACTTTCCCTACAAAATCGTTTTTTTTTTAATATTCCTACGACTTTTGATTACTGAGTTATCGCGGATTAAATAAAAGAATTATTTTGACTTTAATTGCTCATAACTCCATTAAAAATTGTAATAGTAGGATAGTGAATTGTAGTAGTATTCTTAAATATGTTATATTTTGAAAAATAATCTCTCTCTTTTCTCTTCCTCTAATAGAAAGAAATTATTTAAGTTAAGCATAATATTGTAGTATGCTCATTGCGTTTATCATTTCCATGTATTCCATTAAAAATACAATTTTATAACACACATCTATATAAAAAAATTTCTTTTATTATACTATGTTAGAAATACAGGACATTATTCTGTTCTATAGCTCATCATATAATTCTACCATTATCTGCGTCCTTTTGATGGTAAGAACAAAATATAAATTGTTTCCATTTAAATTAAAAAATTTTCGCGATTATTTGATTATCTTTTTCTTATGCGTTCATGTAACTTATTTTTTTCTTATGCGTCATGTCATATACCATGTATTTTATTATACATATCGCAGGTCAGTAGGAATATAGCTCTCGTCAAGCGGGCATTAATGTAGTAGTACCAGCGGCATAGTACTGACTTGTCTAATAGCCATTCTATTGGTAATCCATAATAAATTTGCGTCGGATATCGAGTTCTCAAGAGCCGAAAACAACAACGGGAAAACAAGGAGGTTTTAGTAAGGTATCGAACCCTGTTCACTGTCAATTTCGAGGTGAGTTTTGTACATGACGTATGATACATGGACGTTTAATTTTAATAAACCAGTTTACAAATATAAATAGCTTGTTTCAAGGAAACAGTACAATAAAACAAAAATCTAATTTCTATTTAAAGAAATTCTGATTCTCGATTTAAAGATATTGTTATTTTCTACGTAGAATTTCCTCTTTCTTAAATCATAATTATTATTATTGAATAACGAGAATATATTCTCCTTCATTTAAATAAAATTTCTTCATGTAAGCAAGTTACGTTGGTTTAA